TGGCGCGGAGGCCTCGTGGGGCGGGAGGGCCATGGCCGGGAGGGTCCTGCTCCTCGGGAAGAACGGGGAGAGGAGCACGGACAGGTCCGGGCTGCCCAGGAAAGGCAGGCCTCCCCGGTGGGGCGGGGAGTAGGCCCCGACAGGGGAGAGGCGGATGGGGAGCAGCTCCTCGGGGGAGAGGGCGCCCAGGGCACCCCCCTTCCTGCTGGCCAGGAGGCAGGCTTCATCGCAGGACAGGGTCTTCAGCGGGGGACGGAAGGGGGCTGCGAAGAGGACGGGAGACTTCAGCTCAACACTCTCCAAGCTGGAGTTAAGGGAGGGGAGAAAGGGCAGGGGAGGCACCGCCGGGTCCGAGCTGCAGTAGAGAGACTTCCCGTCGGCTGAGAAATGGAAGAGCAGAGGCTGGAACGGCAGCGTCTGAGGCCTGGGGTAGCGAGAGAGGAAAGAGCCGACTGCAGGCGGGGGCATCGCAAAAAAACGCAGCCAAAACCAGGGAGATCGGGTGGGGGCAGTGGGGCACGGAGAAGAGGGGGCGTAGAGGGGGCAGGGAGGCATGGGGGGGGTCACCAGGGCCATGGGAGGCAGGAGTTGGATTCAGGGAGGAAAAACCAACATCCAAAGAAACCGGAAGAAACAGAAGAGAAAACAGACCAAAAAAACCCAATAAGTGGGAGTGAGGCGTTTCCAGGGCAGCAGCAGCAGGGCGGCGGGGTGAGGAGAGAGAGACGGAGACAGAGTTAGCCGGAGTCCCCGCACCCACCGCAACCTCACACCTATGAGCTCACCGCGCACGGCTGGCACCCTCCACTCACGCGGGCACCCGCCAGGCAGTGCCAGCGCCGTCCCCGGGGCCGGGGCCTAGGACAGCCCATCCAGGAGGGCAGTGGGGAGACAGCAGGACTACGGCCAAACAGCTGAGCATATGGAAAGCGTGGGGGTGACAGCAGCGCTGGCCTGGCATGAAGGGACAGCACTCCTGGCCTCTCCCAGCCCGTGTCCTGGGGTGCCCTCCGCAGGCAGCAGCGCTCCAGGCCTTGCTACCTTTGCCCCTGGCACAGAGCCTCTTCCACCCGACGCAGGCAGCATGGGGCTGGCAGCTCGCACCCCCGCTCTAGCCCCGCCCAGGTGGTTCTCAGCCCCGCTGGAGCCAGGCGCTCCAGCTACAAGCATTTCATCCAACCTGGCTGCCCACCAGGAGCCAGAGAAAGGCCAAGCCCCAGGACAAGAGCGATGCTCTCTTCAGTTCACAGCAGGTCCTGCGGTGCCCTCAGAGCACCCCAGCCCAGAGGCAGCCCCCAGCTCTCAAGGGCACAGGGAGGAAGCAGGCTCTCAGGGGGCACAGCTCCCTCCTGCGTGCCCGCCTACCCCAGCTGTTCCTCACCCCCTGCCGCTTCACTGGGAGCCCTCTTCATCTTCACTGCAATGCCCTCTCTGCCTGCCTAGTGGAAGCTGGGTCAGATCTAGCCTCACAAGTAAACCTCGGGCTCCTGACCCACGCAAGGCTTCGCTGGCCTATGCAGAAGCAGCTGGGGGGGGCAGAATGGCTCAGGGGATCACAGCCAGGCACCTCCTGAAGTCAGGACGCAGGGAGATGCCGCCAGCAGCGGGCTCAGCGCTAACCTGAGACCTCGGGGCCCACCTGCAGCCTGGCTCTGAGCGTCCCCTTCCTCCACAGTCCGCTTGGCTCCAGACCCTGGCCCAGGAGCGAGCGCTCAGCCGCTGTCGCAGGGTGGCAAGCAGCGGCAGCGCAGAGAGAGGAGGGAGAGCGAGGGCGGGCACAGCGTGCCAGGAGCAGCTGGGAACAAGGAGGGCGAGGGCGGGACTCCCAGTCTCGCAGACAGCCCTCTGCCGGGTGCAGAGCAGCCCAGGTGCACAGACATCGCCTGTACCACACAGCAAAAACCTGGGCAGCTCAGCGCATGGACATGCATTTGTTACTGCTCTGCCCGGCCCGCCCAGCCCTGGCCCCACACACTATCACCAGCACCAGCACGCCTCCATGCACACCTGACACACTCTTCCTCCACCAGCACCCAGCAGTACCTGGCCCTGCAGCTCACCAGCCACAGGCCCCAGGGGAGCAGCAGGAGCAGCAGTGAGAGCAGAGGTGGCAGAGGGAGGGCTGTCGATGGAGATGGGGTGCACCAAGCAGCAGGGCCAAGGCCAGGGGGAGGAAACCCTGAGGTCAACCTCATGGTGGGGGAGGGGGTCACGGCTAATCTCCGAAGCTCCCCACCCCCAAGAAACCCCCGCCCCCAGGCCTGCTCGCTGGGTACCTGGGAGGGGGGCTCCCCTCTGGCCACCAAGGGAAAGGGCTTCCTCTCCGTGTCAGCAGCCACCCGAGCTCTTACCCTCTTTGCAGGTCCTGTCTCCTCTCTCGGCTCTTCCCAGCTCCTGGGGGTTTCCATCAGGCCCTCGGGGCCTCCACCCCGCAGCCTCCTCCTCACAGTCAGACCAAAACTGCTTCCTCCTGGGGGCACAGCCTCCTGCGGGCAGCCCCCTGTCCTCAGCATCGCCGGGCAGTCCCTCTGCGATGGGCTGCAGCCCAGGCCGCGACTTCTTCCTCTGCGGCGGGTAGCTTTCCGCAGGTGCCACGGAGTGGCTGCCCAGTGGCAGAGCTGGTGCCCAGGTGGGGCCCTGCAGCCCCTCACCGCTGGGGAGGGCTCTGCCCACGGCTGCCTGCTGGGGCTCGGGGAGCTCCTGCAGCGCTGCTCCTTCCCCCCACGCCAGCTGGCCTCTCTGCTTGTTGATGGCATTGCGATAGCGGAGCTCCTTGAACGTGGTCACCTCCCTCTGGCTGGAACTGGGGGGGTTTGCCTGTTTGCCAGGCTGGGGCTGGGGCCTGGGCAGCTCCTGGCCCTGGGCACTACAGGCAATTAGCTCGCTGGGTGGTGGCAGCTCTGTGTCAGGAGAGAAAACAATGAGCCAGTCGCTCCGGTCCTTCTTGGCCTGTGCGAGGGGGGGTCCAGCCACGTTTCTCTTCCGTTTCTGAGCCAGCTCGTGAAAGGAGGTGATGTTCTTTCTGGCGGGGTCTCGGGGTGGCTCTCCCAGGCTGCCCATGGGCTCAGCAGGTGCCTCTGCTGGGGCAGGCTTCTCCATGGCCATCTTGCTCAGCAGTATCTGCAGCCCTCTCTTAGGCCGCGGGGGCACGGGGGGTGGGCCGCTAGCTGGCCCAGGTGTAGGCTGTGGGGCTCTGTTCAGGTTGAGGTCCAGCTGCCCAGGTGCTAGTGCACAGGTGCCCGGAGGGGAGCTGCCCATGGCAGGAAGGGCATTGCAGTTGGAATCCAGCTCACCGCCAACGGCTGGGAGGGGGCGCTCCCCCGGGGTCTCTGGCATGTCCACGCTGGCAGAGGTCGTGTCTGACAGGGAGTTGAGGGAGCTGCTGCTGCAGAGGCTGTCCGGGCTGCCCTGGGCCAGAGCCTCCAGGCACTCCCACTCCGGTGGGCTGAGGCGTGAATCTCTTCCTTCCGGCATGATGGTGCCCTGCTCGGTTGGTGGTGCGGCATCACGGGCATCTTCAATGGGGATGATGTTCGGCTGCAGGTCTGGGGACTGGGTCTCATCACTGGGGAACTCCTTGCAGTAAACAGAGACGGGGGTGTCATCCAAGCTGAAATCTGAGCAGCTGCTGACAGAGGAGGAGGAGGCAGCATCAGAGGGGGAAGCCAAGTTCTCCTCCCTGGGCAGGGAGAGGAAATCCCCCAGGGCAGGCTGGTTCTGGAGACCTGACTTCAGTGGCTGCAGCACGTGGGACTCGCAGCACCGGCACTGCAGCGAGGGGTTGTTGGAGTTGGCATCAACTTGCTCAACTTGCTCCAGGGCACCATGGTTCTCCTGGCAGTCGCTGCAGCCTGTCTGCTCACGTGGTGCCATGGTGACAGAGCCTTCCCGGAGCTCTGGGTGCCGGGAAAGGTGCAGCCCCAGGGAGACATGCTGCAGGTGGATGTGGTTGAGGTTGCACAGCAGGCCTTTCTTCGGGGACAGCATGATGCCGGGGAGTTGGCGGTGCCCAGGTTCAGACACTACAGCCTAGCCGCTCAGATCATCCACCACCCTGAAAAAGGCAACATGTCTTCTCAGTCACAACAGGCAGCAGCAAGACAGAGCGAGCACAGCAGGGCAGACAGATTGATGGGGAGAGAATGGGCAGGCTGCCCCCATGCAGCATCCACAAGGAGGGACAGGAGGCGGCCGTGGCTCCAGGCAGAGGGAGCAGGACCCTACCTGGGGCACAACTGGCAAAGGCAAGGTGGCATCGGGAGAGGAAACAAGTACAAGAGCTCCAGACTGGACCCGTCTCCTGGGGAGCAGCCTGCTGTGTGGGGCATAAAGGGTCTGTCCCCACCCCCCTAGCTCCAGCTGTTCAGCAGCTGTTCTCTGGGGCTCTGGCCCAGGGGCTCCCTCAGGTGTGCCAGCAGCTTCATGGGCTGGCCTCAGATCTGCAAAGGCAGCAGCAGCCCTGAATTACCTCTGCCAAGTTGCAGCAGTCTGGACCTCAAGGAGACGACACCCTTGAAGCTCAGCTCGCCATCAGCGTGGGCCCCAGGCTCAGTCTGAGGGTGCGCCCAGCACCGGGGGGAGAAACTAAGGGCTGAAGTTGCCTCTGGGGAGTCACTTGCTGTCGCCCTGCCTGTGCCCAGGCATCAGGGCAGCAGGAGGCAGACCTGGAAGGCACGAGGTGACAAGTCACTGACAGGCAGGCCCCACACGTGAGACAGGCAGCGATGGGCCCCACCGGGCATTGCCTGGCACTTCACCCATGGCCCATCTGGTTGGTGCTCAGCAGAGGCTGGGGCACCAAGCCAGCCATGATCTCAGCCTCTCCCTCCCGCAGCTGCCCTGCACCCAGCTCCAGCCCTGGCCCAAGCTCCGCAGCAGGAGGGGAGCGGGGCACGTCCATCCCCGAGAGCCTCTCGGCCCCTCGCACAGGCAGTCGGAAGGCCTGGCACACCCTGCTCTGTGATCGGGGACCATCGCCAGGCTGGCGCAGTCACAGCAGCCTGGCAGAAAAATACTGCTTGCCCCCCTGGCCCCCCAGTACCAGCCAGCCTGGAGCTGCCCCTGGGAGACGGGC